AGTCATAGAGTCATACAACAGAACCTTCGGTCCAACTCATCTGTGCTGACCAGATTTCCCAAACTAAACTAGTCCCATTTGCCTGCATTTAGCCCATATCCCTCTAAATCTTTCCTATTTGTGTACCCGTCCGAATATCTTTTTAATATTGTATCTATAACTGCATCTGCCACTTCCCCTGGCAGCTCAATCCATATATGCACCATTTTCTGTGTTAAAAAGTTGTCCCTCAGGTCCCGTTTAAATCTTTCTCCTCTCACCTTAAAAATGTGCTGTCTACTTTTGAACTCACCTGCCCTGGGGAAAGCACCTTTGCTGTTCTCCTTATCTATGTCCTTCAAGATTTTATAAACCTCTATAAGGTCATGTCTCAATCTCTAACACTCCAGGGAAGAAACTGCCAGCCTATCTAGCTGCTCCCAACAACTCAAACCCTGCAGTCTCAGTAACATCCTTGTAAATCTTTGCAGCATTTTTTCCAGTTTTAATCTAATCTTTCCTATAGCAGGGCGATCAGAACTGTACACAACACTCCAAAAGTGGCCTCACTAACAAAAGAAGAACAAAAGTGAAATACAGCACAGGAACAGGCCCTTCAGTCCTCCAAGCCTGTGCTGATTGTCGTGCCCTGACTAAACTAAAAAACAAACTTTCTGCCCTTATTTGGTGCATATCCCTCTATTCCCTCCCTATTCATATATCCAAGCAAATGCCTCTTAAATGTCACCAACGTGCCTGTTTCCAGCACCTCCTCTGGCAGTGCATGCCAGGCTCCTACCACTCTTTGCATGAAAAACTTTCCTCGCTCATCTCCCTACAACTTTTGCCCTTTCACCTTAAACCTGTGCCCCCCTTATAATTGAAACTTCAACCCTTGGAAAAAGCCTCTGACTATCCACTCTATCTATGCCTGTCATAATTTTGTAGACCTCTATCAGGTGTCCTCTCAGCTGCCATCTTTCCAGTGAAAACAATCCTAGTCTTTTTAACCTTTCCTCATAGCCAATGCGCTGGAGACCAGGCAACATCCTGGTGAACCTTCCCTGCACTCCCTCCAAAGCTTCCACGTCCTTCTGGTAGTGTGGCAACCAAAACTGCACACATTATTCCAAATGTGACCTAACAAGGGTTTTCTAACTGCAACATGTTTTGCCAGCTCTTGTATTCCGGCTGATGAAGGCAAGCATGCCATAGGCCTTCTTAATCACTTTGACCACCTGTGTTGTCACTTTCAGGGAACTGTGGACCTGCACGCCCAGATCCATCTGTATGTTAATTTTCCTAAGGGTTCTGCCATTAACAGTATAATTCACACCTAAATTTGATCCTCCAAAATGCATCACCTCGCATTTGTTTGGATTAAACTCCATCTGCCATTTATGTGCCCAAGTTGCCAATCTATCTATATCCTGCTGTATCCTTTCACAATCTTCGGCACTATCAGCAACTCCACTGATCTTCATGTCATCTCAAACTTACTAATCAGACCATCCACATTTTCATCCAGATCATTTATATGTATTACAAACAACAGAGGACTTAAGACTGATCCCTGTGGAACACCACTAATTACCAGACTCCATTCTCAAAAACACCCTTCCACTACTATCCTCTGTCTTCTATGACCAAGCCAGTTTTGTATCCATTTAGACAGCCCACCCTGAATCCCATGTGACCTTAGTTTTTGTACCAATCTACCATGTGGGACTCTATCAAATGCCTTACTAAAGTCCATATAAACTATATCCACAGCTCTTCCCTCATCAATTATCCTCATGACCTCTTCAAAAAATTCAGTCAGGTTGGTGAGACATAACCTTCCCCATTCAGAAACCATGCTGCCTGTTGCTAACTCATCCATTTTCTTCCAAATGTGCATATATCCTGTCCCTCAGTATCTTCTCCAAGAGCTTCCCCACCACAGATGTCAGACTCACCAGCCTGTAATTTCCTGAATTATCCCTGCTTCCTTTCTTAAACAAGGAACAACATTGGCTAATCTCCAGTCCTCTGGTACCTTGCCTGTGGTCAAAGAGAATGTGAAGATATCTGCTAATGCCCCAGCTGTTTCTTCCCTTGCCTCTTGCAGTAATCTGGGGTAGATCCCATCTGGCCCTAGGGACTTGTCTACCTTAATGCAATTCAGGATATCCAAATGTTGCACATTCTGTACAGCGCAACATGACATCCCAACTCCTATATTCAATGGTCTGAGCCATGAAGTTGGAAACCAGAGAAGCACTAGCATTAGCATTTACACATTAGCAAGCGTAAAAGGACAGTTCAACATTACCTGACAAACAAAAACAACACTAGGTGGCATAGGGCAGAACATGCCTCAGTAAAACAAAAGACCAGAGGCATTTTCTGGGGGACCAAAAAAACCAGACATCGAGTTCCCAAAGCAGACACATTGAAAGGGTTCACTGTTAGCAAGCCATCAAGAGCCAGGGAAAACATTTCAGAGTGATAAAAACCAATGGACTTAATGCTCCTGAGTGATCAAGCCCTTGGAAAATTCGAGAAGATTGCCCGGAAGGGATAATTGATGTCTTGCATCCGCAGTAATAGTAAATATTTCAGATTTCTTGGTGCCTGAATGTTTCTCACCAGTTTGCGTCATCACCAGGTGCTTTGACCTTTGAGAGGGGCTGAGATAGAGAGAGATAGAGAGAGAGCTTTCTCAAGATCTGTAATTACAAACCTATTGCCCAAGCTCTGCCAAGAGCAACTCCCTGAAATACAGCTGGTGTATCTATTACAGTGTTTGAGTTCATTGTTCCTAAGCTTGATAATTACTGGTGACATCTTTCATCTCCAGTATGTGAAACTTATTCTACATGTGTAAACCAGATTAGAAAATGAGGGTTTCTTCACACCTGACTAGATGCGCTAGTTTCGGGTCTTCTGATAAAAATGACAATTTCAATTCAGATAATTTTGTTTATTCCATCTTGGTTTCATGAAGCTTGGCTAACCTGTGTGGTCAGCTGATTGCTTCACCATTTTAAGTCGGTACTTTACAAATAGCTGTTTGACAGTGCAGAACTTGAGCATTGTTGGAATAAAAGACACATTTTGTTGAAACTTATTGTCTGCCCTCATCGGGACAATTCATAAAAAAAAATCCTAAAGTAGAGGGAAACCAACATTTGTTCTGCATGAAAGAACACTGCTGATTTATTAACAAGTACACTGTTATTAATAGAGACATTGCCATGGGAAATGTACCAGTTAGTGATGAATGATAGTTAACTGCCAAGCTTTGTTTAAATTTTGAACAAGGCAGATTGACTTTGATTTGCCCGTAAAATGAACTAGCTATCACTTATTTGTTGTGTTGAAACAGAAGCCAATGTGTGTACATATTCTTTGTGTCTTTCCTTTACTTTGATATATAATGCAAGCAGTACTGATAAGTGCAATGTGAAAACCGTCAACAAAATGTGTCTTTTTTCAACTTTACCATTTATTTTTCCTTTTTAAAACCATCTCAGTCTATGGGGTTCCAAAGTGTGAAAATCAGATTTTGAAGTTTGATAATCAAGATACTTTTGTTTATCACTATTGTGACAGAGTACTACAGTTGTTGGACTGCAGCAATTCAAAAATGTTCCTCATCAACACCTTCTCAAGTGCCGTTAGGGCTGGGTACTATATACTGGCCTTGCTGCTAGTGTGCATATCCTGTGCCCAAATGTGTTTTTTGTTTAAGAAAGGGAGAAAACAATCAGTTGCGTGTGAGTGAAGTATTGAGCCACCAAGGTGACCTTATGCTGTATCTCTTGCGGAGTGGCAGCAGAGTGTAGGTGAATGCTCAGGGCAGAGCATTGCACTTAGCTGTCTGCTATGCCCGATTCTCCATGCAATTGACCACTCTTTACACAGGGGCAAACATCAGTGTAAAAGCTTGAGACAACATGGCATGCGCAAGGTGGACTCCTCCAATCTCTCTTAAACAATGTGCACTGCCTCTGGAAATGCTGACAGGAGCACACATGTGACCCATTGCTGAGCTACAAGACTATGTTCATTATGACCCATGAGGACCAGCACCAGTATCTGGAAGACCAATGCTCAAGAGTGTCTTGTAATATCTGATAGAAAGTCTCCACTGTTCTCCCTGTTCCCCAGTGCCAGTTCCTTCCCACATGTGATGTGCTCGACAGAGTGTGCTACAGTATCTAACTGAGAGGCAGGACCACCAAGCTGTTTGTATCTGCTGGTGTGGAGTGCACAGCAGTGCTGTGACAGTGCTATCCTCCTAGGACAATTGGCTGTTCGCTCATCATCTTCATCAGTACCGATGAAAAATCTACAGGAAAGGAAATATGAGTTTGTGCTAACATTGAGAATGGGGGCGAACTCAGTATAGTATGTCACATGATATTTCAGTACAGGTCACATTAACCAATGTCAGTGCTGTTGAGTTCCAAGTGACTGTGCATCATCTAATGCTGTCACTAGGCTTCTGAGCTATCTCTATCTCTCAATTGCTACTACCCAGGGTGAGTGATACCTTGCTAATCTCCAGAGTGTCCGCTTCCATTTGTGGGCAGCAGGCTCATCGGTGGTTCTCTGCCTCTCCTTGTAGCCCTGGACTTTCACCTGTAACGTGAAAAGCAAGAGGGTTATGGATGTGAAGAGGTGAAATGAATGTGGATGATGGGATACAATATTTGAGGAGTATTATCTGTGAGGAGTGAGGGTGAGAGAGTAGTAGGATGTGGCTGAGGGTGTTTGTTGAGATGCAGACTTGAAGAGAAGACCAGAGAGAAAGGAACTGTGGAAAGGAACTTGCAAAAAGGGAGTGCACATAATTCGTACAAATTATAGAAGGGCAGGATGTTTCAAAAGGAGGAGTTTAGATGAGTACATGAAAATATTTTCAATTTTATTTTACGTTGACGAATATATTTTATGGCTGTTTGGGTAAGACCCACTAATACTTGGCTATGTAGACTATGTAGCTTTGTGACATTAACATTGTTTGTCTGCAGGTTTTGGTTCTCTTGGACTGATGACATCAGTGTTGATTTGTCCAGATGGGAAAACAATTGAAGCTGAGGCAGCTCATGGAACAGTCACTCGCCATTTCAGAGAGCACCAGAAGGTCAGTGCCCCTGCATATGGGAACTAGAAGATAATGCAGCACAGGATGTCTTATCCATTAGTCTTCCCTGACAACTGAAACGAGGCATCAATATATATACAGTAGATACAGAGTAAAGAACAACCAGACAGAGATGTCAGCACCTCATGGTGTTTGTGTTTTTGTTTTAACTTCGAAATTTTATTATTTTCAAAGTACTCATACCTGGAATAACCTGAGACTTAAGGATAATAACTTAAGCTGGTTGATTATTTTAACTGGGACCAACTGTAATGAAAAAGAGTGTCAGTTGTTACTTCCCATTTCTGTTTTCTGTGAGCTGATAATTTGTTGCCCTTTGCAGTGCTTTAAGCTTGATGTATGGCAGTCTGTTAACTATTTGTGTTCCCAGTTGCTGTGAATCCACATATCCTGCAACTTATAGGGAACATTGGTTTGCACTGTCACAAGTCAGCCTATAATTATTATAAAGTCTGATATACGAAGCCATGGCAATCACTTCTGTTTGACAATTTTTTTTCTCTTGTGACATATTGGAAGTTCTTCCAATTGTAAATCTGTAATAAATCTGTAACCTGATGTGACACTGATTTTGTCTTTGAGAAAGCAGACATTTAGTACACTTCTGACTGCAGGTACCCCAATAGATGACCAAACGTATGGCATTAAGTATAGACAATTGGAAGATCACTGTAGTTCTGATGCAGTGTCTAGACATCATCCTCACAGAAGTAGAGCCCATCATGCAGGATGTATTTCTGTTTCCACGTATGGTTGATTCGACAATCACAGCAGCTACCATTGGTAGGACAATTCATAGGGAGCCCAGACTGGGAAGGATAAGACTGTATCGGAAATGGATAACCAACACAGATTTCTCTGCTCTGAATGTTTACTGTAACTCCCATGCTCTCAGACAACCCTCCCACCCTGTGTGGAGGTGTTGACAATGGCTTGGACTCGGCTTCTGAGTGAGTGCAGACTCATGCATCCTCTGTGTACTGTAGCTCAGTGACAGAGGATGAGACGACCTTGGATCTGGCCTGAGGTGGTGGTGCAGGTGCAGGATGGCAAAAAAATGTCTGTGAGCAGCCAAAATTAAGAAGGACACTCCATGATCTCTCATATTTGACGGTACTAAAGGACTTTGAGGTCAAAGAAGGCCATCTGCAACGGTTGGTCCTGTTCCTTATGTTTTTTTTAAACAGTTCCTTACAGTGAAGACCATGTCCAATGCACCCCCTAAAGGGCAGAATTCATTCTGCGAGTCTGGAAGGAAATCTTCAGCCACACAAAAGGTGACTGAGGAAGATTCTTCTGCTAATTTTTTCTGTGGCTGACTGGAGGGAAATTCCTCCGTAGTTATTGCAGTTGTGCCTGTCAATTTTTTTGACAATTGCAGCATCTGAGAGATCTTCTGGTGTACTCCTTTACTTTCAGACAAGGGAAATGTCTCAGCAAGGGTCATGTATCAGCACTAATAGTGCTGATCTGCCATGTTTTAGGCCTTCAGTGTGAACTCCATCAGCTTCTACTGCTTTGTCACTCTTGACTTGTTGTTTGGCCTTTTCTTCCTCAAGCTGGGTTGTGGTTGTGATGAGATGGTGGCAGGTTATCATGCTTGTGGATGGCAGCAAGGACACCCACATTGAAAGCAGAGTCTCTAAGATGGAGATCTTCCAGTGCTCCTTCAGGCGAGTACTGACTGCCTCTCTGTCCTTGATGAGCAGCTCTTCGATCACAGCCAGCAGAGGAGTGGAGCCTTGGCTTCATGGACTGTAGGTAGTCTGACTACACTAAAGAAACCACACACAACATGATTATCAACTAACCACTGGATTCTTGCACTTTCTCCACGCACCATCAGTTCTTTACACCACAGCTTTCTGTGCCAGATCTCAGCCCTCAGCTGCCCATGGAGCAACTCCCTACTTTTTGGTTGGGTTGTGTTTTCCATTTTATTTTCATTCTTTTGAACAAAACCAAAGTCCATTGTTGGGCACACTTTCCTCTGGCAACCCATAATCTGCAATTGAACCATGTAAAATAGTGAGAGTTTTGTTATTCATTTCACTGGGCACCTTGAAACTACTCTGAAAGGATGACAATCACAATAAATAGCTGTTACCCTTCATATTTTGCAAAATCTACTCGCAGCCTCTGCCGGGCTCTATCTGGCTGATTCCGTGGTTGCCAATATACCAGTGATAGCTTCTTTTCTAAGACTTGACATACTCTGCATTCTTTCACTGAGTCCTCTATATCCTTAGCTAATCCTGGCCAAAGATAGCTTGTCGCTAGATTCTTTGTCTAACTGATCAATCATCATTGATATGAAGATCAAATTGCTACATCTATGCCTTTCAGGCGTTCCTACTCTGGTCCTCCACATAAGACAGTGTGCAAAGCAGCGGAAAACGCAATAAAGCTCTCCTGTATCATCCTGCTTCAAACAGAGCAACAAGGACACAGGGCACATTATTAAGTATATTCCTGTTAGGCAAATGAAATTAATGTAAGATCAGTTTCCAGATTTGGAACAACTGTCAAGGGAGAGGCAATGATGTAATGGTTTTGTCACTGGACAAGGAATCCAGAGACCTGGATAATGCTCTTGGAAGCCCAGCTTCGAATCCTACCATAATAGGTGGTGGGTTTTAAATTTGAATGAAAGAAAATCTAGAATTAAAATTTTAATTAAAATCTGCATGTGGATATGCAGATAGCCTAAAAGCCCTCTGCTTCTTCCTGTCCCGCAGGCCCGACCAGTCCCCCTCCACTGACACCCTTATCCGCTTAGCTGAACTCGTCCTCACCCTTAACAACTTCTCCTTCAATTCCTCCCACTTCCTACTGATGAAAGGGGTGGCCATGGGTACCCGCATGGGCCCAAGCTATGCCTGCCTCTTTGCAGGATATGTGGAACAATCCCTCTTCCGAAGCTACACTGGCCCTATTCCCCACCTCTTCCTCCGTTACATCGATGACTGTATCGGTGCCGCCTCGTGCTCCTACGAGGAGCTCGAACAGTTCATCCACTTCACTAACACCTTCCACCCCAAAATTAAGTTCACCTGGACCATCTCCGATACCTCTCTCTCCTTCCTGGACCTCTCTATTTCCATCTCTGGCAACCACCTGGAAACCGATATCCATTTCAAGCCTACCGATTCCAACAGCTACCTAGAGTACATCTCCTCTCATCCACCTTCCTGCAAAAAGGCCTTCCATTATTCCCAATTCCTTTACCTCCGCCGCATCTGCTCCCGAGATGAGGCATTACACTCCCGGACATCCCAGATGTCCTCGTTTTTCAAGGACCGCAACTTCCCCTCCACAGTGGTCGAAAACACCCTCGACCGTGTCTCTTGCATTTCCCGCAACTCATCCCTCACACCCCCTCCCCGCAATAACAACCAAAACAGAATCCCCCTCGTCCTCTCGTACCACCCCACCAACCTCCAGATCCAACGCATCATCCTCCGACACTTCTGCCATCTGCAATCTGACCCCACCACCAAAGACATTTTTCCCTCCCCACCCTTATCTGCTTTCCGGAGGGATCACTCTCTCCGTGACTCCCTTGTCTGCTCCACACTCCCCACCAGCCACACCATCCCCAGCACTTTTCCCTGCAACCGCAGGAAGTGCTACACCTGCCCCTACACCTCTCCCCTCACCCCCATCCCAGGCCCCAAGAAGACCTTCCACATCAAACAGATGTTCACCTGCACATCTGCTAATGTGGTATACTGTATCCGCTGTTCCCGTGTGGCCTCCCCTACATCGGGGAAACCAAGTGGAGGCTTGGGGACCACTTTGTGGAACACCTACACTCGGTTCGCACCAAACAACTGCACCTCCCAGTCGCAAACCATTTCAACTTCCCCTCCCACTCCTTGGACGACACGTCCATCCTGGGCCTCCTGCAGTGCCACAATGAATCCACCCAAAGGTTGCAGGAACAGCACCTCATATTTCGCTTGGGAACCCTGCAGCCCAATGGTATCAATGTGGGCTTCACAAGCTTCAAAATCTCCCCTCCCCTTACCGCATCCCAAAACCAGCCCAGCTCGTCCCCGCCTCCCTAACCTGTCCTTCCTCCCACCTCTCCCTTCCTCCCACCTCAAGCCCCACCCCCATCTCCTACCTACTAGCCTCATCCCATCCCCTTGACCTGTCCATCCTCCCTGGACCGACCTATCCCCTCCCTAACTCCCCACCTACAACTCACCTTTACTGGCTCCAACCCCGCCTCCTTGACCTATCTTCTCCTTTATCCATCTTCTATCTGCCTCCCCCTTTCTCCCAATTTATTTCAGAATCTCCTTCCCCTCCCCCATTTCTGAAGAAGGGTCTAGGCCCGAAACGTCAGCTTTCCTGCTCCTCTGATGCTGCTTGGCCTGCTGTGTTCATCCAGCTCCACACCTTGGCATCTCAGATTCTCCAGCATCGGCAGTTCCTACTATCTCCTTCAAAGGTCCTCAGCTTCACAAATGCCAATCTTCAGCCAATTTGATTCACTCCACGCGATGTCAAGAAAGGCACTGGAGGCTGCAAAGCCTGACAACATTCTACAATAGTACTGAAGCCTTGTGCTCCAGAATTTGCTCCTCCCCTAGCAAAGCTGTTCCAGAGCCGCGACAACACTGGCATCTATTCAACAATGTTGAAAAATACACCGATATGCCCTGTACATAAAAAGCAGGACGAATCCAAATTGGCCGATTATTGCCCCATCAGTCTACTTTCAACCATCAGTAAAGTGATGGAAGGTATCGTTAACAATGTTATCAAGCAATACCTGCTCAGCAATAACCTGCTCAGCGACGCCCATTTTGGATATCACCAGGCCCACTCAGCTCCCTGCCTCAGTACAGCTTTGGTTCAAACATGAGGTGAGGTGGGAGTGACAGCTCTTGACATTGAGGGTGCATTTGCGTGAACATGGCATCAAGAAGCCCTAGCAAAACTGGAATTACTGGGAATTGGGGAAAATTCTGTACTGGTTGGTGTCATACCTGGCACATAAAAATACTATTGCGGTTGTTGGAAGTCAGTCATCTCAGCTCCAGGACATCTCTGCAGGAGTTTGCCAAGGTAGTGTTCTAGGTCCAATCATCTTCAGCTGCACCATCAATGACTTCCCTTCCATTATAAGATCAAGAATGGCGCTGTTCGCTGATGGCTGTGTAATGTTCCTCCTCAGACACTGAAGCAGTCCAAGTTCAAATTCAGCCAGACCTGGACAATGTTTAGACTTGGTCTGACAAGTGGCATGTTGCATCCAGGTAAAGACCATATGCAACGAATAAAATATAACCATCACCTTTTGACATTTAATGGCATTACTAAAAAACCACCACCACCTCCCCCTCCGCCTCCACCCCACCCTCCCCACCCCCCACCCCTGCCTCCCACTATCAATATTCTCAGGGTTACCATTGACCAGAAACTGAATTGTATTTGCTATGTAAATACCATGGATGTATTGCCTCTCCTTCACTGTTGTTGCATCAAAATCCTCGAACCCACACCCTCACAGGATTGTGAAGGTGCTGCAGCAAATAGTGTGGAGCAATTCAGAAAGGCAGCTCACCACCATTTTCTGAAAGGTTATTATGATTGGACAATAAATACTGGCCCAGAAAGCGACACTCATCAGTCTACTCTCGATCATCAGTAAAGTGGTGGAAGGTTTCATCAACACTGCTATCCTATGAGTGAATGAGAAAAATGATATAACAGAATCACAAATTCTCCAAATTTATGTCTTAGTTCATTGTAATACACCTTGCAGTATAAGGAACAGAACACCCAGCTGAATTGTTTCTTAAAAGACAGTGTAGAATGGGGTTTTTCATTGCTGAAGTGATATGTAACAGTCAGCAGGAAACAAATAATGATGGCACCACAATAAGGGAAGAGTGAGAAAAAGAAGGTGAGCTTTCAAGTGACAACACATCATCATCATTACTGGTGAAGTATCTATCAGGGAGAGTATGTGGCCTCACACATTGGTCAGGATGTCTGGCAGTGGTAAGGTTGGGTGTATACATGTAGATCATGTTTAGTTTCAGAAGTTGATGAAGTAGAAGGGAGTTGAGGAGAATCAAAACACTCTGATGATTTTGATAGTTGGGATATGAGTAAAGTATCTGTTGTTGCTCACAGGCAAGTTGTGCCTGAAACTAATTCAGGTCTGAGTTGGAGTCAGACAGAACAGTCTGATTATGTGAAAAATTCAATTGAAGATCAAGGGAAAATACAGTCCTTACAGAAAAATCCCTCCTCAGACTCAGGCCAAGACCAGTTCTGAGGAAGGGTCACCGGACCCGAAACATTACCTCTGATTTTTCTTCACAGATGCTGCCAGACCTGCTGAACTTTTCCAGCAACTTCTGTTTTTTTTTCAGGCCAAGAAAGGCTTGGGCCTTTCTGAAGTTCTGAAAGCTCAGGTCAAGAAAGGCACACTCTTAAGAGTATGGAACAGGTGATTTATGTGTAACTAAATGAAAATGAGAAATGTATTTAAGTTGTATACAATGTTGAACATTTTATGACATATTCATCAAGGAAGGAGAAGTGGACTAGCACCCTTGTGATTCTGGAATGAAACGTTTGAGTTTGATTTTCTGGGAACTTTACTGTCTCGCTGTCTGTCCAACAATGAGATCACAAATTACACTTTAGTTTTGAAGTATCGATCCCAACAACGCTCAGAACTGCATTCTGTGATTGTATGTTGTTTCTGTTTTGTTTTAACACCAGGGCAAAGCCACTAGCACAAATCCAATTGCCAGTATCTTTGCCTGGACGCGAGGGCTGGAGCACAGAGCGAAACTCGATGGCAATCAGCAACTTAAACAGTGAGTCTTTTCTGTTTTTCAAAGGATTCAATGTTTTGAGAATGCTCAGAATTTTATAGGCAGACAATAATTGCACAGACCATTACTCTGACAAGTCCTGCATATTTCACCTAGTGAACACAGTGGGAAAATTCTGCTTCAATATTCAAGATCGGGGGAGCCTTTGTGGTGCAAATGCTGATTCTATTTGTTTTAGATGAATGAAAGTAGATGGATGGCACTGTATCACTTAGGGCTATAATTCTGCTTTCTGATCGCTCCAATGAACTATACTGAAACAGGTTCACAGCTGTATGATATGCTCTGTTCAAGTTGAACTGGCTTTCCCATCAGATGAGATGAGTACAGGTAAGTCCCCGCGTTGTGAATGGGTTCCTGAGCCACTTGGTAAGTCAATTTGTACACAACTCAGGACACAATATAAAATACCTATACATAAGTATAGAAATGTTCATATGTCAGATATTTAAAATTACAGCTCTGTTTAACACCACATTCATAAGTATGAGCATTTTTAAGTTAAATGTTCATTACGCGGGGACCCCCTGCATCATTATCCTTAAAAATTCTGGACCTGCTGTGAGATAACTTTTCTTGTCCATACTCAATCCTTACTTCTTACACCACCAAACATCTCCTTCCATTATGTATGGGGATCTTGCATTTCATGAGACAAAAAAAAACTGCAGATGCTGGAATCGGGGTAGACAAACAGGAGGCTAGAAGAACACAGCAAGCCTAGTCTATTGCATCCAACCTAGTCTATTGCATCCAGTCTTCCCGATGTGGTCTTCTTCTCTACGTCGGTGAGACCAAACGTTGACTAGGTGACCGTTTTGCCGAGCATCTCCACCTGGCCCGTAAGAGCCAACCTAACCTCCCGGTCAACACCCATTTCAACTCCCTGTCCCACTCCCCCTCTGACATGTCCGTCCTCGGCCTCCTCCAGTGTCACAGCGACTCGGAATGCAAATTTGAAGAACAACACCTTATCTCCCACCTGGGCACCCTACAGCCTGGAGGACTTAACATTGAGTTTTCCAATTTCAAATAAACTTCCCACCCATCCCCTGCCTCCCCTTCCAGCCCCACCTCCTCCCTTCCATTCCACCTTCTGACCCTCCCTTCCAGCTACTAACCGGATTCATTCCTCCCATTGACCAACCAGGTCACACCTACTACCTGTGTCCACCTATCATCACCATTCCACCTCCACCCCTTCCTCTCCCCCTTTATCTGCAGCTCCCCCTACCCCCACATCCAGCCCTGAAGAAGGGTAATACCTGAAACGTTGATTGCTGTGTTCCTCCAAATGCTGCCTGGCCTGTTGTGTTCTTCCAGCCTCTTGTTTGTCTACTTGCATTTCACGAAACTTGTGGAACTGATGTTTTGGATCCATGACCAAAATGCAAATATTGACCAAGTGAATTCAGTTCTCACAATGCATTATGTCAATTCAGACCCAGTGATGAACTTTATCCAAGAAACAAAGCATTTACCAAAACAGCAGCTGAGGAGAACTGTCCAGTGTGATTGCCCCCTGTTGAAACTGGATCCTCAATCAAAGGGAGATACAGCCATAAGGTCCTTTGCTGCTCTTCTGTGACTTGATGCATTGAAGAATTCTGTTGATATTGCATTGTGGTTCAGATTTTTGTCATTTATACTATATCTCTTCAAGGTTTACTGATACCCTCGAGCAGGTGTGTGTAGAAACTGTGGAGAGTGGTACCATGACAAAGGACTTAGCAGCTTGTATTCATGGACTGCAGAAGTAAGTTGTTTTTGTTTTCCCTAATGTAAAAACAAAGCCAATCTTGATTGTATAAATCAATTTAAAAAGGCTCCATCTAAACAATGGTAAAGGAATCCAAGGTAAGGTGTGATCTTGGATAAGAAATTGGTTTAGACTGGGAACGTGGGGAAACCATGAGTAGCTTCACAAGATGCATATTGCACTCTTATCATTTGAATGAATGCGTGAATGATTTTATTGTCACATGTATTTTACAGTGAGAAAAGCTGTAAAATACAACGAGAAGCTTCTTCACTGTTGCCACGATACAGTGCCATTTTGAAAAGTTTAAAGAATAAGAAACAAAAAGAAAGATATGGCTTAAAGAGAGACTATCGGTCTCTGGCCAGCTCACCATCAATGACACTGCTCCGTCATCCATCCTCCAGCGCCTCGCCGCTATCTACTCCAGACCCATTCAACATTGAAGTCACCGGTCTTCAGGCGGCATCTTTTGCCGCTGGGCCGATTCTCCTCTGCCACCGCCTCACCGCCATCTGCACCTGACCCACCACCATCAGGATTGCATTTCTCACTACTGGGCCCACCTCGATGTTGCTGTGATGCCCTTCGCTGCTGCCAGCACTGCATCCAACCAACTACAATGTCGCTGATCCGCAGGTGCCATCTTTTGTCACTGGGCTCACTTTGTCAACATTATCTCCGTTGATATAGCAACCGGCGATTCTGGTACCAAAATCAGAGAATGGCTAAAGATGATATTACCTTAATATACTGCCTTATATAGATTCCAGTAGGGATCTGTGACTCCATAAGTACTGTCTAAGTGACAGGTGGCTGGTAGAATCGAAGGCCAATTATGATCTGGTTCGGAAATTGACTGAGCAGATGGGAGACAGACATTAAGGAGAATGGGAAGGATCTCCAGTTAGCAGGATGTGACTTGTAGTGTACAACAAAGATTTGTGTTGGGACCTCAACAACTCACTATTCTCAGTAACACATGCAGGATGCCATATTTCTAAATTTGTTGCTGACACAAAGATTGACAGATTCTAGCAATGCAGGTTCTCAATAATTCATTTTTCCATGATACAGCATGCACGAAGTCTTGATGTCGGGATCTGATGACAGAAGCGCCCCAATAAAGATAGTGCAATAAGATCAGGAGAATGAAGTGAGTGCAGTTTGAGGGTAATGGAGCAATATCACTTTCAATGTAACAATGTAACAAAAGAATTATACCAACAAATAGATTGCTGGGCAGTTTAGCCTAGAGTTTAAGACAAAAGGTGGTGATGTTTTACAATGTCTTAGTCAGATTACACTTAGAACAATGTCATTCTGAGCACTACAGTAAAAAGAAACAGCAATGAGAAAAGGTAAGACATTGAACCTGATGGATGAGATAAAAGGCAACCAGTGGGGGAATAGTAAAAAAGTACTTGACCTATTAGAAGGTATGTAGAAATGGAAAGCACATTATTATCTCAAAGTATGCCAAATTTCAGGACTGGAGCACACAAATGGAGATTATAAAATTAGAAATTTGAAATATCTGTTCAGGAAATCTCCTTTTGATAAATGTTTGGGGATGATCTGCTAGTGCATAACACATTGGAGTGGTTTAAAATATAATTTCATGTCATACTAGGCGAATAAATATACCGAATATTTATTGATTTGAATGAACTTTTCCCAACTTCATTGTCTTTTTGTGCAGTTATTAAGAGGTACTCGAGGATCATAGTTAAGTTGCATATTGAGTCTGTAGGTTTGTGCTTTCTCTCTCCCTTTTCAAAATTATAAATTACATTTGCTGTTTTCTAATCTGATGGAGCCTTCCTGAATTGAGGGAATTTTGGATAGTTAAAACCAGTGCATCAGCTCTCTCATTAGCCAATTCCTTTAGGACCCTCGGATGAAGTTGTGTGATACCGTGGCTTAGTTGGTTAAAGTGCCTGCCTAGTAAACAGGAGATCCCTGTGTTCAAATCGCAGCGGTGCCTGTGCCTTATGTTGAAGGTGTCTTGTTTAAACTTCTTACAAATAGCCCTAGTTTGCTGGTATTTAAGTGGGCGGAACGGTGGCTCAGTGGTTAGCACTGCTGCCTCACCGCACCAGGGACCTGGGTTCGATTCCACCCTCGGGTGACTGTCTGTGTGGAGTTTGCACATTCTCCCCGTGTATGTGTGGGTTTGCTCTGGTTTCCTCCCACACTCCAAAGATGTGCAGGCTAGGTGGATTGGCCATGCTAAATTGCCGTAGTATTCAGGGATGTGTAGATTCGGGGGATGGGTCTGAGTGGGACATCTGAGCATCAGTGTGGACTTGTTGGGCTGAAGGGCCTGTTTCCACACTGCACTGATTCTATGATTATATGATATGATGATGAAGTCCATCAGGATCTAGCCCACAGCTCCAGCAACTTGCTCAGGAGCACTTTCCTGGTGATTGCAACTTTCTTGAGTTGTCCCTTGCTACCATTTCTTGAACTTGGATACTACCAGCCTTTGATTGGTCAGTTCCTGCTGATGATCCAGCTCACAAAGGTCAAGGCCTGTGAGAAGTTTGGAAACTTGCCCTTGCTTGCCTTTCAGCTCTTGGTGTGATCTACCATGTTCGACCTCACACTTATCTTTTCAAAAAAAAAGGGAAAATCTCACCCTTACTTTCGTAAACAACTCAATTTGCATTCAAAGATAAGACAGCACAAATAAGCTAATTGCAATCCAAAGGTGCCTGTGCATTTTCCTTTTTTAAGAAGAATTTAAACTTGGCCCAAATGCAGTTTGCTCCATTGCTTCATGTTGATCTCTTGTTTTCAAATTGTTACTGCATTCATGCCTCCTGCTGGCTGAGTTAATTGGAATGATTATGGTACAGAACAATGGGCACCAGTTCAAGCTGGGTATAGTTGTAAATTCTCAAATTCTGTTGTTTGTGTTTGAGTTGAAAAGGAACTGAATGCTCAAAACCTGTTACTGAAAGTTTCCACTAATGTTCTGTCATTTCCTCCATTGCTAGCATAAAACCGGGACAGCACTATGTGTACACTGAAGAATTTCTTGATGTCATCAAGGAAAACTTGGACAAGAAGTTGAGTCATTGAAAAGGACCAAGAACAATGAAGAGCCTTCAGGGTTCATTCCAAGATGAATACTACCCAATCTTTTTCTGTGAAGCAGATTTAAGATACTGAGGCGCCAGTTTATTCTGGCAGTAAGATTTGCTTTGAAGTGAAATCTTAATCATTCTTTCTATTACATCTTTATTAAAACATGAGTCTTACTTCAAATGAAAAAAATCATTTTCAGTTGCCCATAATCCCTTCCTTTGTGGCAACAGTTTTCACTGCAGAATAACCAATGGTTTCATACACTGTCAGGGCTCGTTATCTGTAACATAGAAGTGAGCCTATTGTAACTTCTCTTTATACCAATAGAAACTTTTCGGTATCCATTGAAACTTTGTACTTAGATTTTTTTAACTTAAAATGAGTATTGTGTTTTTGAAATGAAAGTACTTAAATTGTGCAGCTATAACACGGTTGAGATCAGCTGGAATTACAGACCACAGTAACTGTGCAAATGGGTGAGAAACTGGTGGGTACATAGCCCACCTGTACTTAAAATGGTGGCCTTGACAGTAAGAATTGTAAAATACTGGCAATTAATTTTAAATGTCATATTGATTCTTTGTGTGTGTCTGAGGAGATTGAAATAAAATAGTTTTATGATTATTATGCTACCATCTGTAACCCCTTAGTACTGATATCATCATTCCTCCCTATGCAAAGCATCCTAGAGAAAAAAAATAGGAGCAGGACCAGGCCATTCAGCCCTTCGAGCCTGCTGTGCCATTCAATATCGTCATGGCTGATTATCCAACTCAGTACCTGTTCCCACTTTCTCCATACCCCGTGATCCCTTTAGCCCTAAGAATTACATTTAACCCTTGAAAACATTCAATGCTTTGGCCTCAGCTGTTTTCTATGGTTTTATGTAGTTAAACTAAATAGAGTAGTAGTTAACATTCAACTGCACCTAACATATTACGATGGATTATAGAAAATTAATGGTTGCAGGGCATATTGAATGAAACTGATGGTCACTGCTGAAATTTAAGGATGATTTTCTGGAATCTGAAGCAGATTTTGCTGAAGCCCTTTCACTAAAACGCGTCAATAGCATCTTGTCTCCAAATATGGCAGGCAATTAGGCAGGGTACACTGATTCTGTCAAAGGAAGGGTTTCCAATTAAAAAGTTCATGACATCTTTAAAAGGCTTAATGGCTGATGGATGTTTGAGGCTGCAGCTACCATAGGGTAGAAAGCATGAAATAGCTCCATAGAGGCTGGTATCCTGTCACCAAATCACCCTTTATTTACACATGCATAGTATGTGACACTGGTCTGGCTTGCTCAGAGCCAGCTCTCAGAGTGAACAGAATCTTTGACACTCCTGTTTATATTGGTCAGCAGGACTCCCTGATTGGACCAGATTACAGCCTCAATCGGGGAACTCATGTTCTGTGATGTCCCTCTGGCTGACCTTTTTACATTCACTACAAAGGGTACACAGGAAAGCTGCTCGCTGGATCTCGTACACTTGTGTGGAACCCCTGATGCAGGATCAATGGGATCTTCCCTCAGCACAGCAAGACGAGGACAACCTCTCCAGCCAAAAAGATATGGGTGGAAGTTGCCAAGAATGCCAACAGCAAGAGTGTGGAATCTCTAATCTGGTAATGGAGTACCAAGAGGATTCAGGGCCTCAGGAGAGCAGACAAGGTGAGAGAAGGGGTAATTCCAGCAGCAAAGCCCCACACCTTTGACTTTTCCAGCATTCTCCTGCAAGATCTCCTCAGAACAACAAGCCTTGAACCCTCTGTCAGGTGTCTCGTAGAGGGTATTGGATGATTATTTGGATAGAAATAGCATGCAAGGGTATGGGGGAGAAAAGCAGGAGATTGACATGAGGTAACGATGCTCGTTTGAAGAGCTGGTGCAGGTACAATGGGCCAAATGGTCTCCTAATGCACTGTAGCAATTCTGTGATTCCAGCTGAGCAGCCAGCATTTTCACTCACCCTCAGCCTATTGCCTTCTCACATCCATGCCTGGCAGTCACCCTCCAGCAATACGTTAACAGTGTTGAACGACTGTGTGCTTTCTCTCCTTATGGGAGAAGAGAACACACACTTTGGGGAGAGGCAGAGACCTGAGTGCTGGGCATCCATTGACAGTTAGCTTATCGGCCTGCTGCTAAAACTGAAGCCTCCTGAGGCATTGGCAGAGTCAAATGTTGAGAGAACTGATCCTTTACACATTGGGAATCTTGTCTTCTTCAAGCTTTGTCTCTATCAAACCCCCTTCCCCTGTGGCTGAAGGAAGGGCAATTAATTTAAAAGCTGAAAGAACTGTGGATGCTGTAAATCAGGAACAAAAACAGAAATTGCTGGAAAAGCTCAGCAGGTCTGACAGCATCTGTGAAGAAAAAAAAATCAGTGTTAACGTTTCAGGTCCTCAGTTCTGAGGAAGGGTCAACAGACCCGAAACATTAACTCTAATTTTTTTCATCACAAAGGACAATTAATGCTGTTGTTGCTCCTTGTGCTGTTGGTATTGTTTGAGTCAGTGTTACAACCCTTTTGTACTCCACATTAGAAATGAATTTCTTCCTTTAGAGAGTAGTGAATCTGTAACATTCTTTATTGTAGAGAGCTGTTGAGACTGAGTTGTTAAGTATGTTGACATCAGGGTATCAAGGGTTATGGAGGAAAGGGCAAGAATGTGGAGTTGAGGATTATCAGATCAGCTGTGATCACATTGAATGGAGCAACAGACTCAATGGGCTGAACAGCCTGATTCTGCTCCTAGGTCATATGATGTGCCAATTGCTTCCATGCTGCAACAACGAGGAAATGCAGCAGGAAATGAGTGAAATGCGCGACCTGGCAAGAAATTGTCAAGCCTGTCATTTTCACTGAAGAAATATTTCTCACTATGCGCTTACCTTGCCAATCTGGTGAATTGCTGACAGTTTGAGCTGAGCAAAAGATCTGTGGCCTGTTGAAGGCAGGAATCTTGATTAAGAAAGAATTTAATGACCTATTGGAATATTTATATACCTCACCCAACAATTGCATGGGGGTTCCTCAGTCACCTTCTAACCTACTGGGGTGAAACCAAAAAATGGTGACATGGTGATGACGTATTCTGGCTAGATGTCACTTTTTGTGGATTTAACTCTATATATGTACTCAAACTGCCTCCCCTTGCCTCCGAAAACAACCCCAACAAAGCTGCATCAAAGTGTGAAAGCTGTGGAAATCTTTTTTCTCCATTTATTGATGTAATGACAATTCAACAAATAACAAAGGCAGAAAGACTAAAAAGTGTGTTCTACACCCAAGAGTCTGATCGTGGTATGGAAGCACTAGCAGAACTTTTCGATGAGATTCTGATCTGTCCGTTATCCATTCGTTATGTATTGTTTCCTCTTCCATTCATGTTTGAAGGTCAACTATGGGAGAACCACAACTTTCAATTTTTTTGGCAATACTAATTAATGATTCTGGAATAAATACCTTCTAGCTATTTTTAATTATTTTGAGATGGAAAAAAATCAGATTAGATGTAAAGCAGGTGATCTCATGGAATCTTGCTGATTCCTGCTGGGCAGGTTCAGGTAAAGTGATCCCAAGGTTCTTGCATGTAATAGTTTTATATGAGGCTTAATTTATCTTCGTTATTCTTCATTAAAAGTCAGTACAGCAATATAGAGACTGATGTACAAGCAAAAGTTGACTACGTCTGTACCAATCTTAAAGCAGCTTCTGGCAGCACAATTGTCAAAGCAGACCTTAAAATACATCTAAAATAAAAGCAAAGTGCTGGAGATACTGGAGATTCAAAAGATAAAATTGGAAAGTGCTGGGAAAATGAAGAAGGTCTGGCAGCAGCTGTGGAGAGAGAAACAGTAAACATGGTCTGAAGAAGAATCAGATCTGACTCAAAATGTTACCATCCCCCCCACAGAGAAACCTGCTGTATTTATCCAGCACTTTCTATCTATATTGAAAACATATCCTCTCCCCAAAATATCCATTCTGTAGCATTTTCATATCTATTTATCTCCTTCCATCAAATACTGGAAAACAGTGCTGGAAGGGGAAGGTCATAGTCGGGGAATACTTTGAATCTGCTTTCCAACTTACTGAAAAATAGAATAGATCAAAACTTCCATTATACATAACTGACGTCCAACATTGCATATTTCCTCAAATCTAATTAAAGATACCAGAGAAGAAAGGGAACTCACATTATCTACATAGCTATGACTCATTGTTACTTCGAGTCTCATAATGCTTGTGTTCGATCTAGACCAGCTGCTTCTAACCAATGGTAGCAGTAGTGGTGTCACTTCAATCCTGCAAGAACCCCTGTCCTGAAGGAGTGCATACAATCAGATTAACTTTCTCAACTGAGAATATTTACCTGGCTTTAACTTCCTTTCCTACAATTTTGAGACTTCTAAATCCAAAGCCTCAAGTTTTATCATTATTTGATTTCCAACTTTTAAAAATGATTTTCTTGATGGTTTTTCATTTTGATTTCTCAGCAATATAAGAAGTCCTGCGAATTATGGAGTGAAACTTTTGAGTGTTGAGTATAGTGTTTTGCTGCCTGCTAATCCAGCCAAATGAATGTTATATTGGGTAGGTCACACGGAAGGTTTATTTCATTTGATTTGATTTATTGTTGTTGCGTGTACCTAAGTACAGTGAAAAGTTTTGTTTTGCAAGCAGGACAGGCAGGTCATAATGTAGAAGGACATACAGATCATAGGATGTTTAGACAGAGTGAGGCATGCAAGGTTACAGCTGCCTAAGAGGTGCTCAAAATCAAAATACGGGATTTCTTTTCCTTTTTCTCTCCTTTTTGATAATTTCTCTCCTTGGTGGGAATAGGGGACTGAATCTTCTGGAAAACAACAAAAAGGTGATCTGTCCAGATGCTAGAGCACAGGTAGATCAGCTAATAGGAACAGAAGTCTTTCAGCCAGTCCAACCTGCTCTGCCACTCTATCTGTATAATATCTGTCGTTCAATTCGATTTATCAGCCTTTAATCTATATCCATTCGCACCATCCATTCACAAAATCTAGTGTTCTGAGTGTTAAAAGGCTCAGTACAGCCTTTGTGGAAAAAAATTGAAATTTCTGTTTCCCTTTCTGTGAAAACGTGTTCCCTGATTGCATTTGTAATTAGCTTAACTCAAATTTTAAGATTTGATACTGTGCTACTGTATTGTGACTTGCAGGTTTATGCAACCTCTCCTCAATCCTTCTTTATAAACTCTGGTATCATTCTGTCAAAGCTGCATTCTATGCCCTTCCATGTTAACTTTATCCTTCCTGAAGTACAGTGCCACCACAGAACACAATTCTCTGTATGGGGTCAGATCAAGATTCGGTACCACTGAAACATAACTTTTTTTTTCACTTTGTATTGCAAGTCTCCTTCAGATAAAGCTAACATTTCATAAGGAGTTTTGAGGTTTTGTCTGTACCTGTCTGCTGTTTTCTGCAAATGGATGTGCAAGCCCCTTTTTTGCTCCTTTGTTCTTGTCATTAAGAAAGTATTCGGATTTGTCAATCTTTGACTCAAAGTGGATGACCTCACATTTTCCTTCTGTGATGTAAGTTTGTAGTAAATTTTTTGTGTGGGACAGAATTT